ACAAAAGGAAGAAGTGAACTAGTGGAACACATGCATATGTAGGAGAGGTTGGCCAAGTAAGAAACGGAACATCAACACATGATTGAACTTGACAAAAGGAAGAAGCGAACTAGTCGAACACATGCACATGAAGGAAAGATTGACTAAGTAAGAACCGGAACATCAGCACATGCTTGAACTTGACAAAAGGAAGAAGTGAACTAGTGGAACACGTGCATATGAAGGAGAGGTTGGCCAAGTAAGAACCGAAACATCAACACATGCTTGGACTTGACAAAAGGAAGAAGTGAACTAGTGGAACACATGCACATGGAGGAAAGATTGACTAAGTAAGAACCGGAACATAAACACATGTTTGAACTTGACAAAAGGAAGAAGTGAACTAGCGAAACACATGCACATGAAGGAGAGATTGACCAAGAAAGAACCGGAACATCAACACATGCTTGAGCTTGACAAAAGGAAGAAGTGAACTAGTGGAACACATGCAGATGAAGGAAAGGTTAACTAAGTGCGAACCGGAACATCAATACATGCTTGAACTTGACAAACGGAGAAGTGAATTAACGGAACAAATGCACATGAAGGAGAGATTGGCCAAGTAAGAACCGGAACATCAACACATGCTTGAACTTGACAAAAGGAAGTAGTGAACTAGTGGAACACATGCACATGAAGGCGAGATTGGCCAAGTAAGATCCGAAACATCAACACATGCTTGAACTTGACAAAAGGAAGCAGTGAACTAGTGTTACACATGCACATGAAGGAAAGGTTAACTAAGTGAGAACCGGAACATCGATACATGCTTGAACTAGACAAAAGGAAGAAGTGACCCCCAAGGCAAAATTCACTTACTAGGCCCTTCTGGAGGTACTTGGGCCTCATTTTGGCCAAGTACATGCAGTCCAAGTGGTTGGTACCAACTCGGACTGCCTCTTGGCTTACTCCGGCCTCTTTTTCATTGCTCAAATGCTGCCCCCTAGGGTCCTAATGCCCAAGGGGCAGCAATACTTGAAAGAAAAAGGCCTTGTGGGCTTTTTTCTCGATTTTTTCAAGTTTCGTCCCGGAGCATTTTTCCATATGGCGGCACATTTTCAGCCTTGGATCTGGCTGAGATCCAAGGCCAGCAATAATCCGAGCTACCCCCTAGTA